TTTGTACATACATACAACTTTGAGCTTTATATATGTGGATACAGTCTGCTTGTCAATTCAGGTTTGAACTGCAGTAGTGATTAGAGTCAGCGATTAATCGTAACCGAAAAGGGTGAATATTAACAGTTTGGGACAGAAATTTTATTTATTTCTGTTACTATGCTCTAATTTTTAAAATTGTCTTGAAGAAAGTTCCCCCACAAAGCACTGATCAGCCCTACCATTAATCCACAGTTGTGTAGTATGAATAGATAAACTTCAAGCCATTCGTCACCATACCCATCGTTGACATCTCGACTCATTAATGTAAATTTTAAATCTGCTCTATTATCTCTGTTCATCTTGTGGCTTTCAGCAAGCACATCGTCAGCGCTTACAGTATCTCTCTGAAATGAACATTCAGTGAATCCTATTAGATGATACTTGAACACGTTTGTGAAGTACCTCCATTAACCACACATGGGCCCATAAACGTTCTAATGGGGGCAATCGTCCATCCCGAAGAGTACGTGGACAATACAGTTCTACATTGGCCCCAACAATGGCTGTTTCAATCATTGTAAGAGCAGAGAAACCCTAAAATATAAGAAAGCTACTATTCCTGCACAACAGGTACTTCTTCAAACAGACCAGCAAGTCACACACCATCAACAAAAATAACACTGTAATCATACTTTCTTCCTTAATATCGAATTAAACAAGTAAATTTGCTTCACCACTTGGTATGAATATAGCAGTAAAATGAACGTGTACCTCGGTTTTCATTATTGATTGAGGAGGGTTGATACGTTATCAAGACCTTCAAATGCTCATCTTAGTTGGCATGCCTGACATGATTAATCAAATGAGGAAAGTGATTCTGTCTGTTTAACTTCTTGAAGAGGCCTCTACAAATCAAAAATCTTAAGCATTGCAAGACTACCGGATTTGACTTACATCTTTTTGGGGACTTTTTGGATGTATCGCTATCTCCCATAGCTGACTCATAAACTCCAGATCGCGGATACTGCCCTACAGAAAACTCGTAAATTATCGAGATTTTCCATATGTTCTCCTAACTTGAATCCTTGGCTTTATTTGGTTTACCTTGT